GTGCGGTAATGGATCTGACTCCGCCCATATGGAGTACACCTCTACCAGTTTCCATTTGAGTTCAGGAAACGTCACTCATCCTTAGGAGTTTAGCTAGAAATTGGAATGAGGTGCTTGCTATGAGAGGAATTGACGTGAAAAAGGAAGGGAGTTCCTGAGGCGGCGTTCAGAGTTCGCGAAGACGCGCGTCGACGCGCTACAATTGCAAGCAGTGGCTCAATCCCACAGAGGCGAACGCATAACAGGAGGGCAAGCACTGCCTCCAGACAAGCTGGTGCTCTCGCTTTCTATACCCTCACGAATCCTCCCACCACCAGTGAACCGATCGATCCTTGTCTGAGGATGCGTTCGCGTATATAGCACCGGAGAAGTTGCAATCGTGACGCGTCGGCGCGCGCCAGCGCCGCAGAAGTGCCACACAACTACTTTCTGATAGTGGAAATCAGTAATTGATTGGTGACGACCAACTTTTTGCACCCTATGGCAGTTTTTTGGGGAAAAACAAATTTTTCTGAGAACTGGGAAGAAAGATGGGAAGTTGGGAAAACTCAGAAAGATGGTGGGGGTAACGAGTGGGGGTTGCACCACATGGGAGTGTGGGCAAGGGGGGTGCGAGTCGCGCGCACACCCGCCATTTTGTGCATCACGATGGTGTACCCTGGTCAGCGGTGACGCTTCCGTGGAGCATTCCGCGCAATGTGACCGCGCTGCAGCTTCTGTGGAGTAGTGTACGTTCCTGTGATCGAGAAATTTGGTAGCTTTGCGTGATGGCCCCTCCGTCGCTCCCCTTAGTATGACCCCTTTCAGCCCCACAGTTCAACAGCAAGTTAACAATGCAGTAAGCCAAATGCGGCTCCCTCTCTCCAACTAATCAAATACCACTTTCACTGAAGAAGACCTCTCAAGTGAGACCTAGGGCAAAGATGAAGGAGCAGGTAGAAGAAGTTTGAGATTTCCTGATCTATAAAGCTACCATCTTATGTATTGTGATGGAAGGTAGAAATAGGCAAAACTATCGGCTAAGATTTCTTAGAAATCCCACTTTTTGATCAGTGTTAGTGAACACTTCATTCCATCAGTACATCAGGAAAGCATGTTGCAGCCATTCATCACCAGCGACGAATTACGTCGAGAGCTGCCTGCCGACCAAGCAGCTTACTGTATGCAACGAATGGCGCCGTTTAACGACCCACAGGCACCACCAGGCTCATACGATTACATTACGTTCAGTCGAAGTCTCTACTTCAGCCAGTAAAAGCCTTTTGCACACCTCTCTAATAACTGTTGTTTTGGAGCTTTCTTATAACAATTGCGTACTCTTGCAACTTCTCTAACCCTTTGTCCTTTTAACAAAGCTTATTTTTTCAAATACATAGAATAAATCTGACTAGCAGATAAATGAAGCATTATTGAAAGCTGGTCGATCAGCATTATTGATTTTCGGTTTATTGATTATTTTTTCATCCCTGTCTTCCCATCTCTATCATCAAAAAAAGTGTCTAGCTCGCTTTTGATTAGAGATGAACATCTAGTCTGATTTTTTCGAAGAAGTCGATTTTCGATTGATTAATTAAATATTTACAGTGCTTTAGTCTAGGTGGCTGTGTAAATATTCCGAGTATGACGTCTCTTTCTCATTTCCCAAGTACTGCCTTATTTTTCCGCTTTGACGTCGGCACACTCATATTGTATGGAAATGTATTTGCTGTTCCAATGAACGTGTGGTAAAACTGTTGTTTGATGACTGTTTAAAATTAATGTGTGGTCTGTGGCTATTGAAAGCATCCCCCGTAGTTGCTGGCGCTATAGAACTGCCATACAGTTACTGTTCCTGATAGTTGAAAGGAGTAGTTGATTGGTGACGATCTCCCCCCCCCCACCTCCCTTCTCGTTGAACGGCAGTTTTTTGGGTAGAACTTGGAGAAAATGTTGGTAAGTTAAGAAAACTGGAGGAGATGGTGGGTAGAATAGGGAAGGGTCATACTGAGACCGCCATTCCACGCATCACGGTGCTCTACCCTGCCACCAATGCTCGGTGGGCGGCTTAGCGCAGATTCCTGACCGTTGCGCCGCAGATACTTCCGCAAAACACATCGAATCACCAGGATTAAAATTCAGGACTATGGGATGTGCTAGTAATCGCCCATCATTCGACAGTAAAATGAGCGAAAGGGCTGCAAGAAAAGAGCAGGGCTAGAACAGGTTAGTACACTGCGACAGAAGCTGAGTTCATGTTTCTACGTAAGAGTATTTCTTGTAGGTTAAGCAACAGCAGAAGCTGATATTCCTCTCCCTAAATTGCAGTGTTCCCCTTGTCTTCAAGCACGATCACTCCAAAACGCATTTTCGCCACGCCCTTTGTCAATGAGGACCGCCCTTCCTAGCTCGCGCTTTAAACCTTCCCTGTTGACGAAAGAGACAGTCCGCAGTAACTGCATCGGCGGAAACTGTGGGGAAACTCATTTTATTGTTCCT